AAGAAGTAGGTTGTGCTGTTTTGCAGTATCATTTGCGATGCTTCAACCCAGTGGCTTCGGACAGCAAGAACCACTGATGCCGGACTGCGGTATCGCTTCGTCTCGATACAGCGCTGCCAGTAGTTCCGCGACATCTGCATCACGTGCACGCGACTTCCGATCACGTTTTCTTGGTGCTAGTAATCGGCGTATGGGTATGGTACTACTTACGCCACCTGGCAACAACGATTCGTCCACATCATCTTCTTCGGCTGCTGCTGCGGCCGACGAACGTCGCAAGCAGTTGCGGCGTAACAGGCCCCGAGATATGTCTTGCGATCCGTCGCTGATGCGTGGATTGCCACGGCATGATCGGATTTATGATCGCGTTGCACGAGATGACCTGTACTGTGACAGTGGTGATGATTATCCCCCTCCTGCCGCTGCTGATCTGTTAACAGTGGGGCGACACTATGACAGATATGCGATGAATCGCAATGACAACGCTGCGTCGTCATCCTCACAACAACCGCATTATCGCAGTGATACAAGCTTCTCACCGATGAACAGGTTCCTCCCGTACTTGCTTTACATAATTTTGTAAGGGAGGTATCGTCAAAAGGGACCAATGACTATCAGAGAAAAGTATGACAAAGAGACCTATATTACAGTTCTCGTATTACAGTTTTATTACAGTTGTCGCCGGGTGAATTTCTTATTTTTCTCGGAAAATACCAGATTCCACATAAAACATCTATCTTTGGCGAAATACAGCTGAAATTTAGGAGAGTCGAAATTCGATAATCCAATTGAAAGAGCCAAACAAATTTATCGCAGCCCAGACGCGCACCGAATTCTACACTACAGCATCCCAGTACATTGCCGAAGCCCAGCTCTTCCTCGAAAGTTTGCCCTGATCCCTTTGGGCCTAAAACACAAATGCAAAACGTGCGAGTTTTTGCTGGCTTCGATTTTGATCAGGTCTACAACAATTAAATATTATTATCACAGGGTAGAATCTTTTTTTCGAGGTTTCTCGACAGAGGCAGGGGACGGGGCAGAGGAGGATACAAGTCGGATTTTCTTCCAGATCTTAAATAAGGGATGATATATATCAAAAAGGCTAAGATCATCCTGGCATCAGTGTAGGTATCCTGTGTTACAGGTGTCACTAGGCCCCCTAAAATCAATTTTTAATTATATTTCTGCTGTTTTACTACTCCTCCTTCTTTCTTATTTGTGTGTTTGTTATGGCAAAAAAAAAAACAACATTTACACTTTAGAAGCGGTCTGCGATATTCGGGTGATGTACTT